TCAGACAGGAATAAGAATGGGTCTCTTGGTGTGCCGGATGTTGTTACATCCTTATGTGGATCTGGTTAGGCCCCACCTCCCGTGTCTCCGGTCTCCCAAGTCTTTCTGCCACTCGAACAGCTCTGCCCCCTAAAAAGCAGTCATCAATCCCCTCCCCCCTCCTCAGGGGGGTCCTTCAACTGTTAACTGCTGGTTACCCTTCCAGGCACCTGGCTCTTGCTGCTCCTACCCTACATCTGAGTGGGGACAGTGGTCCTCCTCCCTAGGAGAAGCAGACGTGCCTGCTTCAGCTCTGTCCCTGAGCTACTGCAGTGGGAGTACTCAGCTCTGAAAGCAATGACTCACACTTAGTTCATGAAAGACTGCTCTGAAATACAAAAGCTGCAGCCAGGAAGGACATCCAGAGGTCATGGGATCCAGCCCCCTGCCTCCTCCACTATGGCCCCACAAATGCTAGACCAGAAACGTCCTGGGGGGGGGGTGTCCACTGACTCCCAGACTCCCTGGGTTTTTGTTGGTGAGTGGTACCACCTGCTCCCCTGGGAATCCTTCCCTACGGTTAGTCAGAATCTCTGCCTATGGATAGCTACTTCTTGGTCACTTTCGCCACAGACTAGAATACTAGGCTTCAAACGGCCAAGGAGACGGCGTTCTTCCCTTTCCCTTGGGGAAAGTACTGGAAAAGCACAGATCTCCCCAAAGAAAGGAGAGAGAGGGGAAAAGTGAGGAAGCCTTCCTTGCTGGATTTGCCTATTCTAAGTGGTATTCTGGTCACTCTTACCTTTACCAACAGCAATGTAGAGCGGCAGTCGGTGGCACAATCACCGTCTTTCATTATTTATGCATTTGTGTGTATGTGTGTGTGCACATGTGTGCCCTGGTGTGTATGTGGAGGTCAGAGGGTCAGAGGTCAATTTTCGGTTTTTCTTTTTCTCTATTCTCTTTCTTCTTTCTTTCTTTTTTTTTCCCCGAGACAGGGTTTCTCTGTGTAGCCCTGGCTGTCCTGGATCTCACTCTGTAGACCAGGCAGGTCTCGAACTCAAAGATCTGCCTGCCTCTGCCTCCCAAGTGCTGGGATTAAAGGTATGTGCCACCACTACTCAGCTTGAGTTCAGTTTTTTGGAGTCCATTCTCTCCTCCCACCATGTGGGACCTAAGAACCAAATTCAAGTCATCAGATTGGAGGCAAGTGTCTTTATTAGCTGAGTTATCTCACCAGTCCCCTTCCCCATCCAACCTCTCCCCTCTTTTGAGTCAGAGTCTCATGTAGCACAGGATGGACTCAATATGTAAGGAGGGATGACTTTGGACACCTGATCATCTTGCATCTACCTCTCAAGGGATGGTATTACAGGCATATGCCAACATTCCCTGTTTATGTGATACTACTGATCTTCCTACAAGCTAAACTGACACTCTTATCAATTAAGCCACATACCCAGCCCCACAGTTACCATCTCCCAGGTGAAGAAATCAATAAACGATAAGACTTAGTTGCATGCCCAAGGTCTTCCCATTAGTTATTAACTATACAGATAACGGACTCTATAGACCTCCCATACTGGTGCTGGAGAGATGGCTCAATGGTTAAGAGCACTGGCTGCTTTCCAGAGGACCCAGGTTTGATTTCCAGCACCCACATGGTGGCTCACAAATACTGTAACTCCAGTCCCAAGGGATCCAATGCCCTCTTCTGGCCTCTACAGGCACCAGACACACACATGGTACACAGGTATATACGCAAGCAAAACATCCATACACATAGAATCAAACAAAAAGATTTTTAAGGGCCTGGAGAACTGGCTCAGTAGTTTAAAGAACTGGCTATTCTTGCAGAGTACCAGGTTCGATTCCCAGCTTCAGACTTCCACAGGCATGCACACGGCACACATACATACACACAGACAAAAGATTCATACATATAAAATAAAAAAAACTTTAAAAAATTAAAAGCAGGGCTGGTAGTATGTACCTTCAATCCCAGCCCTCAGGAGGCTGAGGCAGGCAGATCTGAGTTTGAGGCCAGCCTGGTCTACATATTGAGTTCCATGCTGGCCAAGAGTATATAGAAAGATCCAATCTCAAATTTATACATATATATGAACTCCAACCCCAGCTCTTATGAAGAAATGGAGATACCTCACCCCAGAAATCTCCAGACAGAAGAGGCCTCTGTTTATTCTAAAAAAGGAAACATGTTCATGTTTTGTAGTGCTGGGAAATGAACTTTGAGCTTTGAGTATGCTAGGCAAGTTCTCTACTACTAAACTACAGCCTATTCCTAGGTTGTTTTTGTTTTGTTTTGTTTTTGTTTTTTTTGAGGCAGAGTTTCTCTGTGTAGTTTTGGTGCCTATCCTGGATCTCGCTCTGTAGACCAGGCTGGCCTTGAACTCACAGAGATCTGCCTGGCTCTGCCTCCCGAGTAGTGGGATCAAAGGTGTACACCACTGCTGCCCGGCTTTGAAAATTGAAAACTACAGCCTTCCCTAGTTTCCAATTTTCATTAAAGAATTGAGTGTCTCAATAACTTGTTGAGGAGAGCCTTAGACTTTAACACAGGCAGGCCTTGAACTTGTGATCTTTCTTTCTCAGCATCCTGAAGAGCTGGGATTACAGCGATGCACCATCAAGTTTAGTCTAGCCCTGGGCTGGTGGAGAGACCTGATGACACTCAGAGCGTCCTGAGCATCAGAGGTCGGAGCTGCCTAGGGAAGGGAAATTGAATGGGCAATGGAGTTGCCCTCCTCGGAGCGACAGGAGGGTCTTCGGGGGCTGATACTGAGTGTGCCTTTGGGGAGACAGATTTGAGGGCTGAGCTCAGTGTCCACTTTGGCTCCTTCCAGGGGAGTCAGGCCAGGGGAATCCTGCCAATGCGGTAGAGCTGGAGGGGGAGGAGATCAAGCCCCCACGACAATGAACCTGCACACCTGCCCTTGTCCTATTTCTGCCAGTGACAAGCAGATCTCTATTCCTGGGCACAATAACCTGAGCAGTGCTCCCAGGGTGAGCTCACCCTTGAGAGGCTAGCCACTCTGCTCTTCAGGCCTCACGTGAAGCTGGATGCTGTCATCACCTGGGTCCTTGAGTGCCACCACCCACGGCAGAGGAGGGTACACGCATAAACCCGGAAGTCTCTCCGTCCACACGTAGCATCTCCCTTTCCTTGATCAGGCCAAGAGATGAAGTTAGACTCAGGGTGCTGGAGGAAAGGCTTGGGGAAATCAGTCCCAGTTTATGGCCGCACATTAGAAGCAGCACTTCAGATTGGGTGGGGGGGAGAACACCAGGCCCTACGCTTGACCAAACTGCCGTTGCTGAAGGATTTTAGAAGGGCCTATCTTAGAGAGGCTTGGAGGCTTCCTGAATGAGGATGAAGTCCATCTCTGCTGAATCTAGACAGGAAGAGTAGAAAGGATCATAACTGCCCGGCTTTTCATCTACAAGGAAGAACTATCTGCCTTGACTTTTTATTTGGTTTGAGTTTTATTTTTTATTTTTTTGAGACAGGGTCTCACTATGTAAGACCTGGCTGGTTTGAACTTACTGTGTAGATGAAACGGGACTTGAACTCACTGAGACATGCCTTCCTCTGGCTATAGGCACACACCCCCCATGCCTGGTTTGGCTTGAGTTTTGACCCATTAAGGTGTCTTTAATATGGGGCTGGAGAGATGGCTCATGGGTGAAGAATACTGACTGCTTAAAGAACCCAGGTTCAATTCCCAGCACCCACATGGCAGCTCACAACTGCCTGTAACTTCAGTTCCAGGAGATCCAACACCCTCACAGACATATATGCAGGCAAAATACCAATGCACATGAAAATAATTTTTTTAAAACTGGTGTCTTCATATGCCAGGCGGTGGTGGCGCATGCCTTTAATCCCAGCACTGGGGAGGCAGAGGCAGGCGGATCTCTGTGAGTTCGAGGCCAGCCTGGGCTACCAAGTGAGTTCCAGGAAAAAGCGCAAAGCTACACAGAGAAACCCTGTCTCGAAAAACAAAAAAACAAAAACAAAAAAAAATTGTGTCTTCAGTCTGTGATCCCAATATTAGGGAAGTAAGTTGAGGCAGGAAGAGGATGAGTTCCAGACCAGTCTGGGCTACATAGAAAGACTCTGTCTCAAAAATAATGAAACAGGGACTGCTGAGATCGTTCAGAGGGTAAAGCACCTGCCATTTGAGGGCCTGACTTTAATCCCCAGCATCTATTAGAAAAGGCCAAACTCACCACACTAGGAAGGGGTGGGGGCCTGGGGCTCTGGGGCCAGTCTAGCTAAATTAGTTTACAACGAGAGACCCTGACTCAGACTTCATGGTGGATGGCTCCTGAGGAATGACACCCAAAGTTGACCTCCGGCAACGACACTCAACACACGTGCCACTCGTGTACCACATATACACACACTCAGATGTACATGCGTGCAGATCATATATACACACACCGAACGACAGCCTTCTCTCTGCTTTAGGAAGCGCCTGTAAGTCTAATGGTGTTGTGTATATTTGGTGAGACCCTTTGCTGGGCAGAAAGGCATTAAGTTAATGGGTGAACGAGTCCTGTCTTTTTCTCTGCCAGGTTGCAGCATCTTCTAATCTGCACTAACAGAACGCTGTAACTTTTCCCTCTCGGCTGTTGTGCTGCAGCCCCAAATTATTCGTATTTCCAGACACTACTATGCTCGTCCCAGCCCTTCAATTTTGTTCCGCACCCCCTTCCATCTCGGGGGGGGGGGTTTCAGCGTCAAACAACTCCTCCACTTATTTACCCTCCAAACCCCTCCCCATCTGGCCGAGCCCCCCAAGACTCCACCCCGCTGTCCCTCCTAGCCACCTCCGCAGCCAATAGCTGAAAACCTTGATTTGCATAGCTGCGCGGGGGCGCGGCGGAGGGAAGGGGGAGGGACCAGGCGACCTCCTAAATCAAAGTTGAGAGGCTAGGACTGGGCGGAGGGGCCGCGGGGTGCAAGTCTGGGGCCGCCGGGGGGAGGGGGAGGGAGATGGGGGGCGGGCGCAGAGGACGGCGGAGCGGGCCGAACTCGGACAGCTCCGTCGCTCGCTCGCTCTGCTCATCCGCGCATCCCCACTTCCCTCCTCCTCTCGCAGAGCGCAGCATCCTCTGCAGACCCTTGGTCCTCACGCCCCGGGTCGTCCCGCTCCCGCGGCTCGTGGTAATTGCCTCCCTCTCTCCCGCCACCCGGACAACTTTCTCTTCTGGTGCCTGGGGTTAGGGGGCTGCTTTGCCTTGGGAGGGTTTCTCCTGAGGGTCACTGGAGAGCAGCCACTGGAAAAAGGCTTGAGAGTCCCAAAGAGACGCCCGCCACCCACAGCCTGCCCCCGGCGGGCCTGCCGTCGGGTCTCCGCACCCTCTCTTCCTTTATACCCCAACCATGACCGAAATGAGTGAGAAGGAGAATGAGCCGGATGACGCGGCCACCCATGCCCCCCCAGGGACCGTCTCCACCCTCCAAGAAACCAAGGTAAGTCGGGGGGCAGAGGCCTGGCCCCGCCTGGGCACCTCTGGCTCGGAGCTCTGGTCACAGTGCCGGGGTCCCCTTGGGGTCACGGAAGCTAAACGGGGCCCGCGTGATTCCTAAGGCTGCTGCGCGCCATGCCGGGGAGGGAGGAGAGGGTTCGCGATGAGGGGACCCAAGCAGCCGATCACACGACCACGACCCTCCGGTACGCGCGAGGAGCCGACGCGCTCCGGCTCCCTCCTGGGCGGTTGTAACTCGGCTTTGTTGGAGGGAATCGGCGCAGCGGAGGCGCGGGGCGTGTGTGGCCGTGTGTAGCGGGTGTGGGCCGGTGTACGCGCGCGTGTGTGCGTGCGAGGCGCACCCCTCCCGTGGCCGCCAGATCGGTGTCTGCGGCTCCCCGGTCCCCCTCTCTCCTGCCTCTCTGAATTCCTATCCACAACCGTCCCCTCTCTCTGGGCGTGCGTCTCTCCGGTTCTCTCCGCTTCCCTACGTGCTTCTCTGTGTGTCTCGGGCGTCCCTCTCTGACCCACAGCTGCCTGGCATCCACCTCGCGGACCGGTTAGGCTGGGAGCCCTGGAGGCCGCGGCCCCCGGAGCGCAGCTTTCGAGCCGGTGCTGGGGGCTGCGGCAGCACCGGCCGTCGGTGGCGGGCGGGGACCCGGAGTGTTGCGGCTCCAGAGCCAGAGGCGGCCCCACCCCCCACTCGGAGAGCCCGGAGAGGGGAGGAGAGAGGGCAGAATCAAAAGAAGTCATCGTAATTAATGAATGTCATAATTAACCCTAATTATGTATGATTGTTACTCTTGTGGGAGTCACAATGAATAAATTATTCTCCTGTGAAGGCAGGCGGAGCCCAGACTGCGGGAACTGAAAGGGGTGGGGGAGGCCGATGTTCACATTCCACCTCCCAACCCTGATGTGTTTACCCCCCTCCCCAACTTCTAGGTGCTCATGAAGTTCTGTGGGAAGCTACCTGAGCGGCCCCGGAATGGGAAGAGAAGGGACTGTAGGAAGGAGCCCTTACCCCTCCCTAGACTTCAGGCCAAGACTCCCTTCCCTTCTACCCTGGTGTTTGTTACCATCCTGGTCCTGTGACCAGGAGAGGTGTGTGAGAACCAGAAATGGGTGGTGTCTTGGGGCTCCCTGGGGTCACAAGCTCCAACACAGCTCTTTCCAAGACCCTCTTCCACCTCGGTCCGTCTGGACGACCCCTCAGAATGTGAGGTTAATTCAAGGTCAAGGTCATTACGGCAGCGAGCACAGGGAGTTGAACAGGGAGGGTGGAGTCTGCCTGAAGCTCTCCAGGTTGCTACCCCGCGCCTGCACCTAGGGACCCTGCCGCTCTCCAAGTCCAAGTCTCTTAGTTTTTTGAGACAAGGTCTTGCTGAGTATCCTTGGCTGGCGTAGAACTCACTGTGTATTCCAGGCTAGCCTCAAACTTTCAGCCATCCTCTACCTCCCGAGAGCTAAAATTGCAGCTGTGAACCGCCATACCTGGGTCCCTCACATCCAAGATTCAGTGCACGAGTGGCCTTCTGCCTTCTTCTAAAATGTGGGTCACATTTTAGACCCCTTAGGGTGCCAAATCTCTCCTGGAAAGGAATGAAATGGGAGGATAGTGCTTGGGTCATCCGACATACTCAGGGGATCCTGGGAGCCGGGCCTCAGGCTGAGATCCAGTTCAACCTCTTCACCTGCTCTGTTGTCAACCCGGGCAGACACACAGTCTCCCTGTCTTCCTAGAGAATGGAGGGGCTCCCAATGCCTGCCGCATGAAAACCTGTCTGCTCCTACCCCTCCGTAGGAGTTCCCCAAGGCAAGCAGGAGCCTGGAGCTGTGCTGTCTCAGCAATCTCAAGGCTGCATGCTCAGCTGTGTGGGAGAGAGGGGGTCAGACCCAGGGCAGGGCTGTATCTCCCTTCAACCCAAGGACCCTCCAATGTCATCTGCTCGGGGTCTGAGCCACAGAAGGTCTGGAGGAGTAGAGGAGGGGATGCCACAGCTGACCCCCCTCTGTGCCAGGCTGTTTGGGCCCCCAGCCTTGCCCCCTTCGTCCCTGTGAAGGACTCTGAAGTAACCTCACAGACAGGACTGGGGTATGTCAAGGGACAGTCTGTGAGGTCATTTCACAGCCCCCCTCCAGCTGTGAACTCAGGGCTTTTGTCAGCCCCTTCCAGCCCGTCACCAGAGAAGCCTGTACCTCTAGACTCCAAGGAAGGGAAGACAGAAAAGAAGGGTGCTACCCACCCAACGCAGTGTGAGGCAGGTTCAACAAGGGCCGGGTGCCCAGAAGCCAACATTCTGTTCTTAGTCATCAGCTTGGTGCCCCCAGGCATTTCTTGCCCGTATGAACCCAGTTTCCTGCTTAGTCTCTGGCAGGGCCTCAGCCCTCTGCCCAGCCTATGCAGCGATCTTCTAGGTAGGTCCACTTTCTCTTAGGGTCCTGTTCATCCTATGACGTTACTTATCCCCCCCTTTGGTGTCGTCCCGGAAGACCCCACCATGCCTGCTTTGCCATCTGAGTCATTCTTCACCATATCCGACACCACCCACTGCCAGCTGCCTGGTACTGTTTCAGGAGATGGCATGGGAAACTGAGGAAAAAGGGAGCCTCCAGGGAGCTTCAAGGGAGAGAATACTGGTAGGTTGGGCTCCTTCTCTGAGGAGTTCAGAAGAGACCTGGTGACCTGGGCCACACGCCAGACAGTCTGCAGGTGCACTGGCAGGGAACTGGACCCAAGCGAAACAGCTTACTAAGGAGCATACCAGAAATGGATCCCTGCCGTGGGGACACCGAGACCGCTGGTAGGGTTTGGTGAAATGCTTCTCAGGTGTCTTAGTGTTCTATTGCTGCGAAGAGACACCATGAGCACGGCAACTCTTTTAAAGGAAAACATACCATTTCAACTGAGGTGTAGTCCATTATCATCTTGAGGAGAAGCATGGTGGCACACAGGCAGACATGGTGCTGGAGAGGTAGCTGGGAGTTCTGCATCTGGATCAGCAGGCGGTAGGAGGAGAGATTGACACTGGGCCTGGTTTGAGCTTCTGAAACCTCAAAGCCCACCCCCATGACACACTTCCTCCAACAGGGCCACACCTCCAGTAATGCCACTCCCTGTGAGTCTATGGGGAGCATTTTGTTTTTCAAAACAGGGTTTCTCTGGTTTTTCTTTGGTGCCTGTCCTGGATCTCACTCTGTAGACCAGGCTGGCCTCGAACTCACAGAGATCCCCCTGCCTCCTGAGTGCTGGGATTAAAGGCGTGCGCCACTACCGCCCGGCCTGGCATCAAGCCATTTGACAGCTGTCCTATCCTGCCCTCTGGCCAAAGCCTTGTCATCTGCCAGTCACCTAGGTGGAAATTCCATTTTTTCCAAACTCTTTTCTGCTCTCCTGGAATGTGGGGCCCACAGCTGAGTTAGGAAATCAGCAGGCAGAGTGGAGGCTGCCCTGGTGCCGGAGAACATTGTGTTCCAGATGCCTCTAGTACCCTTGCAGAGGTGGCTGTTGGCACTGAATTCCAGGGAGGGGGTATACCAATAAAGCATGCAGGTTAGACTTGGCGTGGGGGCGGGGTTAGGTTTACAGGGATCGATCACTCTGGAAGTAATGGCCTCGGGAGCGGCAACATGACTGATGCCTTCACATAATTGGAATGTCTGGTGTGGCTAGGCGGGAATAGCCTAGTCAGAGCCAAGCGAGTGATGGGGCTGACAGGGAAAAGTCTCGGGGAGGCAGGTTCCAGGGCCTTATAGGGGAGCACTTCCTAGCAACTGCAGCTGCCCAAAGATGGAAGGACTGTCCCAGGAGGGAGTGAGCTTCCCATCCCGAGAGGAGACCAAGAGCCATTCATTCAGAGACGGTGTGACCACAGCAGCGGTGGGATGGGGTGGAGACTGACTTAGGTGTCTAGTCTTTCTGGTCCCGTCTAATTCCTTGATCGACACAATGGACAAGTCCGTGGAACAGTTGAGGGGAGGGAGGGGTCCAGGCAGGGGCCATGGCAGTAAGATATTCCTGGTTGTCTGAGCTGAGCAGCCTGAGCCACCCATTCAGGCCCTGACGTGGGTACTTGCCAGCTAAGGACTCAGAGCAGGCGTGATTAAACTCCTTTAGCATTCATTCCTCATCTGAACCATGGGACAATGATGATCTCCCTCCCCCAGAGGGTCTCCCTGGAGCCCATGGCAGACTGTGTGTCAGATGTTAGCCCAGATCCAGTGTTCTAATGCTGAGAACCCTTTACGGAGCCAAATTCCTGGTTAGCTGATCTGTTTGGATCCAGAGCTTTGTATTGCCCGGAGAGTAGCCAGTGATGCCTCCTCCTTCTTGGATGTGGGGAAACTGAGGCTTGGAGAGAGGAAACACAGTGATTTGCACTCAGATAACAGGTTAATTTTGCCCTACCCCCAGTACATCTCTAATTTTACCTCCTGTGTGCTCTGTACCTTGAGGCCCCCGAGCAGAACATGGGTGACAGGAATTGGGGTCAGGAAGGGTGGCGGTGGTGTTCGTTTTCCTCTTGGACACCAACAAAGCCCTACAGCCCTGTTTGGCACTGACAGCCACAGCCTGACCTGAGCTGGTATGTGGAGTCGAGTTCTTCCTTGTCTTTTCTGGCTTGCCCCCTCTGCTCCTGCGCACAGGCATCTGGGGCTCCAGGCCTTGCTTCCCATAGATGTACAAAGCAGCCCACAGTGCTGTCCAGGAAGCTGAGTTTGGAAGGAAATGAACAACTCAGTGTGCCAGACACCCTAGAGCTCTGGCCTCCCAGCTGGCACACCAGAACCTGCCTTGTGCCCAAACATCCCCTCTGCTTCCCCTTCCATCTTGCTGCCTGCTGGCCTCTGGGAGGCTGGAGGGGCCACTACTTCCATCCCTTTGGCATACACAGGTGCTAGGCAGACAGCCACAGCACACAGGCTGCCTGGCATGCCAGCTGGGCACCCTGGCCAAGACTCCTTGTCTGGAGCCTGGCCTAGGCCCCCCTTTTCTGTCACTGG